ATATTTGATATAATAAGATATTTGATCTGTTTAAACTACTAATTTCCAGTTCAACTAGCCAATTCGAACTAATTTATAAAATCATGGTTACAACAACTCAAATCGAGTTAAACCCACTTGATAAAAATATTATATTTTACATTTACACTATTTAGTATAGTATATATTTTTTTTCAAGATCTATAATTCAAAAATTATTTTTTTTTATATTTTTAAGAATTCACTTTAAAAGATCTATCTTTCTTTAAAAAATATATATATATATATAAATATAAATATTTTTTCAAAACACTTCTCTAAAATATTTGTTTTTTTTTTATCAAAACACATTATTATTAATTTTTTTAAAAATCTCACTTAAATTTTTTTTTTAAAACTTGTCAATATGTTGAGTTAACCATTCCATCATATTATATAAACAAAAATATTTTTAAGCTTATAGAACTAAATTGAGTGAGAACAGTCTTATGTTGTTGTAATTATATATGATACAATTTTATTTTAGTTTATTGCCCCTGTTAGCGTGTGTGTTGTATGTACATGAATCAAGGTTATCAAATCAAGCTAATTTTTTTCACGAGAGTTAGTGAAAAGACCATGATCATAGACCAAAATATCTTATTTCTTAATTGCTATTTTCTAATAGCTGGTTGATATTAATATGGTTCATTGTTGTTTTATACTACTTGCCTCTCGTCTGCCTCGTCTATTTATATATACTTGCAATAATTTATATATATTGTTCCTAGAATTTATTAAGTTTTACTTTCAGGTGTAATGTGTTGATGAAGTTATACTGTGCATTCACAGGAAGAGTCTCAGTTGGTTCTTGAGCAACTGAAGCAATTTATGGAGATGTTTTCTCAATCTTCTCGTCCTCCCCAACCTCCTCCTACACATGATGTTGACACTGTACAATCTGATGATAATGAGTTAGATGATGATCATGATATAGATGTTTAGGGATGCATTATCTTTTACTATTATGTTTACTATGCTTTAAACTTATAATTTGTTATGTTTAAGTTTTACTATAGTACTTATCATACATTA